CTTATCATCTGTTTGTCGTCATCAAAAATGTTAGAATGGAATCATTTTTGACTTTCTATAACTTCTTGAAGCAGGAATGGGCAACTCAACACCACCAACTGAGTGCCAGGAGAACTCAGCACCAGAAAAACAATTTTTTTTTTTTTTTTTTTTTTTTTATAACTGAATAAAAGTAATTTATTAAGGATTGAAAAGTTAGTGAATATTTTTCTTCAAATAAGACATTTGAAAAAGCATTATATAAAATATGAAACAGTTTTTGTTTTTAATTAGTTTTAATAAAGTAAATTGTAAAGAAATTTATTTTTTTAATAAAGTAAATTGAACAGGATGATTAAAACATCATTCCAAGGGACATCGTGAAGGAAGTAATGGAACAAATCCCAAACAGTGTTGATAACAAAGATATTCTGTTGGTAGGAGGTTCATGATTGATGGGAGAATGGAAAGATATACTTCACTGCAGGATTGGAATTGACAAGAGGACAGAGCTGCAGAGCATGACACGAGTTGGGAAGAGTTAGAGATTAAATAGAGAAACATTTGTTAGGATTACTGGGGAAATGCATGGGGAAAGTATACCACTTGCATGAGATATTGAGTGGTAGAGAAGTTCAAGGTTTGGATGCCAGTGAGGACAGTGATTAAGCTGTCTGACATGGTTAGTACTGAAGTTGCTGAACACTAATATTTACAAACCGGTGTAGAGAGAGGGGGCATTATCTATACTATCTAGCAAGCAATAGTCATGAGAATAGGAATGATAGATAACTGACTGAGTTTAGTAGAGAAAGATGGAGGCACATGTAAGAACACACTAGAGACTCAAGAGAATTCCCTAGACTATAGGAGATGTTCCTGAACATAGACACCAAGGCTATGCATGAGTCCTTGCTAAAGAGAGAAAGATGTCCAGAAACTGAGAATTCAGATGAGGGGATTTAAGAATTAAGATTAGTTTCACAGAGAGCTAGGATATCTGGAGAATGTTCCAAGAGGAATGATTCCACACTGCAGAAATTAGTACAAATGCCACAAATGTTGGAGAAAGTTTGACTGGTTTAGATGTTGTTTTTTTTTTTTTTATCTGGTTTAATTTTATTTCATTGTTTGCTTTTAGTCAAGGTGTATTATTTAGAGTAGGAAAAGGCCAATAATAGCTGTTGGGTATTTAAGGTAATATGAGCTGGCTGGGAATTGGCGCAGACTGCAGCATAGTGTGGCCTCGGGATTGTCCATTAGAAGTGCTTGCAAGGACATCCTTCCATGTTGACAGTATGCAACTGTTGATCAGAGCAGCCTCTCTAAATGATACCCAAGAGTTTGGCCCTCTAACTACCAGACGGAATGCAGCAACCAGAAAACTGCTAACCTGGTACCCTCAGTATGAAGAAAGGTAGCAACCATCCACTTGTATCACTAAAAATTTTTAACAGCCACTACTATTAAGGCCAGAAGAATGGAACAGGAAACCCCTTTCTAAACAGGATACAAGGAATGAGCCTTTACTCCAGTCCAAAAGAAGGGGAGGAGTATGAACTGGGTGATATCTGCTCCTATTTAAAAAATAAAATAAAATAAAATTGTCTAGAACTAGACTAGAAGTTGAAATATCCATTACCAAAATAATTTTGGGTGGGTAATTAAAACTACACTTTTTGTATGAGGTTGCCTCTGAGAAATTCCTGGTTCTTCATTTCAAGTTAAGTATTGTCTTAGAATATTATCCCAGATAACTCATTTTCAAAATGCCGAAAGTTTGGCATGCCAGGACATATTCACACTTGGATATCTTCACCTCAGCCATATTGATAAATTTGTGAAACATAATTCCCTTTATTAAAAATATTCTTTCAAAAATAAAATATACTTTTCTGAAACTTTATTTGAGGAAGATTAATTGATTTAAAGTTTAATTAATCTGAATTAAAACACATATTTCTTACTTTTAGTTTAATTGATAAATTAATGCTTGGCATTTTTAAGTAAAGGGTCCAGAACTGTATAAATTACTTGATTAAAATGTAAACAGCTTTATATATATATTTTTTTTTAACTACCAATTAATTTAAAATATTTAGGAAAATATTCTAAGTAATCTAGTATTTTATTGAATTTTAGGTACTTTGGCTTTACAGTCTTACGAAGATGCATGTTGAGGAAATGTTAGAAAATTACCAATAAATTTTAAATTTATTGTAGCTTCTACCCTTATTTTCTGATAATGTTGTGTATGAATGTCCATATTTGAAAAAATCTGCATATTTATATACACAGACAAAAAAAATTTTAAATTCTTTTTAAAATACTGCAGGTTGTTGAATTGTAATCTTTTTGATTAATGATTATAGATTTTATCACCTAACAGCTACAAATTAATGCAGAATTTTAAGATTTAAAAGTTTATGAATTATTTGTATTTATTTTAAATTGTTGCAAAAATTCATTATTCATTGCAATAGTATCCATAATATAGTTTCTTCATAAAAGCATTTAAAAGCATTTCTAATTAAATAATGTCTTAGTTTTATTGCATTTTTTATTTTTTAACAGCAGTAACAATAACAACAACAATAATAATAATAATAATAATTTTTAATCATTGTAACTTTCCAGGTCAAATACCTTTTAACTTATGCAGAAATAATTAGTAATAAAAAATAGAATATAGTTACCGATTTCCTAGGAATAGTCAGTTAGGAATGTTTCTTAATTTTCTACAAATATTAAGATAACAAGCAAGAAGAAAAAATAATCATGAGAAAGAGGCCATTTGCCGTGGTTTAATTTCTAAATTAATATGCTTGATTCTCTTTTGATCTTCTTGTATGACAAGTTTTGTTTACTAGATAACCTTTTTCTTTCTCCTCTAATACTCTTATTTCTTTCTTTCTTTTTTTTTTTTTTTTTTTTTTTTTTTTTTTTTTTTTTATTTTTTTCTAATTTTTTTTATCTTTTACTTTCTTCATCTAACTTTAACTTTCATTTCCATTCTCTCTCATTCTCTCTCTTTCTCTTTCCTTTGTAATTCCCCATCCTCTGTGCTTTATTTCTATTTCTACTGAGATTTCTTCCCTATCATTACCAACCTGTTTTTCTCCTTTCCATTTTATTCCCATTTGTCCCGGATCCTACTCATATTTCTCAGGTAGAACCTTGAGACCATTTGTGGTGTTTGCCTGGCAAATCATGACTTACAGCCTGTTGGGCCTGCTGCCTAGACTCTCCCATTTTAACCCATGTGCCCCCACCCCCCACCACAAACATCCACTGTCATTTTATTTTTATTTTCTTTTAATCCTTTCTTTGTGGTTTCTGGAGTTTTTTTCTTACCCTCTCTCATCAGCCTCCCTCCATGTTCCTCATTGTTTTTTCAGCCATTGGGAAGATTCAGTGGTTGGGAGTGGGGAAGAAATCAACTCTCTAGACATATTTTTGTTGTTGTTGCTTTTTATACTACAAAAACTATACACTATTTCTCTTTTTGCTCAACATGGGTGGTGGGAGTAGTGGTGGTGTTGACATAACTTAAACTTTGAGTTGACTCTTGGCTGTATAGAATACTTACCTTTTCAATGCCATGCATCTGCAGTGTTAACTCATTTGCATCCTTTCTGCTTTTCCTAGGTCTACAACAACCAGAGTAATTTCAGAAATGAGAGAAGGAGAAAAATAAAAGCATAGAAATAAACTTAGAACAATTCTACAGACCAGCCTCTTAGTTGTTGTTTCTCTTCTCGACTTGCACCTCCCACACAAAACTTGCATATTTACCTTTGAGAAAGCTAAAACTTCCTGGTTAAAATAGCCACTCTTACAACGAATTATTTCTTCAAGGAAGTAGTGTGATAAGCATTCTAATGTTTGTGTTCTCGGAATTATAATACTAACTGTTTTTAAAAAAACTTGGTACCTGCCTTCATCGTTAAACCTGCCTGTCAAAAACTCTTGTTTCGCTGATTTATTTTAGGTTTTTATCAACCTTGTAAACTCAAAGATATTCTTTTTTAGTAACTTTTATGCTGAGTAAACTTTAATTAATTCAACATGTTTTATTCAAATAAGAAACTATCTTATGAATCTTCTTTTATGTCTTCTCCTGCAGGAGTTGCTACCTCAGAATCCAAAAGTGATGTCCACAGTACCTTTGCAAGTGAGGATTTTGATGTCCACTCTTTTGGTACCAAAAGATCTGCTCGTGGATCAACATGGGATACTATAACCAAAAAAGAGTCCTCGTCCAGTTACACACCCTTTGAACCAATCCGCAGACAGGATTCTTATTCTTCATACACATCTGGGGACTATGGCTCACATCGGGCCTCAGAGAGTCCCTACACTGACAAAAGGACTACATACTTATCTGGAGATTATAAATCTCGGAGGGACTCTGAAAGCTCATTTATGTCTGATAACAAAAGCACACACAAAGACACTTATTCCTATGGATCTGGAGATTACCGAAGAAGAGACTCGGACACTTCTTTTGCATCTGAAAATAGAAGTGCACAAAGAGACACATATCCTTATATTTCTGGAGATTACCATGGATCAAGAAGAGAGTCGGATACTTCTCACACTTCTTTCACATCTGCTGATAACAGAAGTACTCAGAGGGACACTTATACTTCATACACACCTCGAGATTATAGGACATATCGGAGAGATTCTGACACTTCCCATACCTCTGACAGAAGCACCCAAAGAGATTCATTTTCTCCTTACACGTCAGGAGATTATCGAGGAACTCGGAGAGACTCTAACACTTCTCGCATATCTGCTGATAGTAGAAGCACTCAGCGAGAAACTTACGTTTCTCCTTATTCTTCAAGAGATCGCAGAGGATCCGGTCAAGATATAGACATGTCTTCTACAAAGAGCATCAAGAAGGAATCTTATGTTTCTGAGGATCAGCAGGGTTCTGGTTTCGTATCTAATGTGAAAAAAACTCAAAGAGAGCCAACATCATCATACATGTCTGAAAGTTACCAATCTTCACA